ATGGAAGGGACAGTGAACTTCACCAGGGAACTAAGCAGTATATGCAGGAAGCCTCTCCTGACAGTTGGGGTGTTGGCAGCTGTCACCACATCCCGGCAGCTTCCATCTAAGTCTGCACAGTGCCCGCCAAGTCCTGTAACTCTGACCGTTTCCTCACTGCGCTCTCCCTCACCGTCGTTGCTCTAGTCCAGTGGCTGCTCTGCTTTTCCTTAAACCTGGCTCAGGGCCTTTGTCCTTCTGTTTCCTCCCAGAACACTCTTCCCCAGACAGCCAGAGGGCCACTCCCTCAGCTTCTCTGAGTCTTTGCTTCAGTGTTGTCCATCGTACACCCCATTGTGACCGACTCAGCTCACATTTTCCTTCCCTGTAGTAGTCGCCATCTAACATACGAGGAAGTTTTCCGGCTTGTTGTCTAGTCTCTGCACTCCCCCTGCCCCCAGGACCTGCTGGGATGTAACTTCCAGGCGTGTGGAGATCCTTTACTGCTCCGTATCTCTCCCATCTCCAGCGTCTAGAACATGGTCCTCACTATGTCCTAGGAGCAAATCAAGTCTCTGGATTGCAACAGTGTTAATGACTGGTGATTATTCCTTAATGTTGCCTAAAATTGGCAAAGCTTCTTTATTTCCAAGGGAAAAAATGTTTAAAGAGAGAAATGGTAGTTAATAAACATAAATGGAATCATGAATTTTTTTTTAAGACAGTTTCATTTTGTGGCCCTCAGTAGAATGCAGTGGCATCACAGCTTACAGCAACTTCAAACTCTTGGGCTCAAGTGATCCACCAGCCTCAGCCTCCCAGAGTGCTAGGATTACAGGTATGAGCCACTGCACCAGAGGAATGATATTTCTTGAAACTTTTTTTTTTTAATTCACTGTTGGAGATTCATTGAGGGTTTAAGAAACTGATTGTATCTGTTAGGTAAAGTCCCTCTTACAATCGTGTCCTGCCCCCAACTTGAAACTTTTTTATTTGACAGTCTTGTTCTGTCACCCCAGGTTGAGTGCAGTGATGTCATTACAGCTCACTGCAACCTCAAATTCTTGGGCTCAAGTAATCCTCCCACCTTGGCCTCCTGCAGTACTAAGATTATAGGTGGGAATCACCATGCCCTGGCCTAAAAAAAAATCATTTGATAAACTCTGATTGCATGCATTTTTATTTTTTGTATTTCTGATACTTTGACATTTGGGCACCGTTGACTCCAGAGAGATGGCCCCTCCCAAGACTACCCAATTCTCAGAGACAGTAAACAACCATCTTATACCAACTACTCCATTCAGGGCCCACGCCTCCAGCTCTCATCAGGCTCTTCCACACTAGGCCACCCTCATGATGACCCAGTCCCCTCTGGGTCAGGTATCCAACAACTAGTGATGACTCAAATGCTCAAGCTGGCTGGAATTATTCAGTGTGGCCAACCCTAAGCCTACTTCTCCTGCCTGGCCAATTCCTCCCCACAAAACCCACAAAAAGACTCTCGCTAGGCTCGGCGCCTGTGGCTCAAGCGGCTAAGGCACCAGCCACATGCACCTAAGGTGGCGGGTTCGTATCCCCAGCCCGGACCTGCCAAACAACAATGATGGCTGCAACCAAAAAATGGCCAGGCGTTGTGGCGGGCGCCTGTGGTCCCAGCTACTTGGGAGGCTGAGGCAGGAGACTCGCTTGAGCCCAGGAGGTGGAGGTTGCTGTGAGCGTGATGCCATGGCACTCTACCCAGGGGGATAGTTTGAGGCTCTGTCTCAAAAAAAAAAAAAAAGACTCTCACTCATGTTTCCCTCCCTCCTCAATCTCCCCCAGCGCTTCACTGTGGGCTGTGGGGTACAGCCAGTCCCTCCTCATGGGAATGGCTCTTGTCTCCTGATCTGTTGGCCTCACTGTATTTGAAGGACAGTAAAACCTACATTTCACAAGACAGGCATGCATGAAAGTGATGCCACAGGGACCCTGGTCTCACCACAAGGTGCATCATAGATCCAGGGGTTCATCTTAGCACCATCAGTGCTGTCAGCCGCATGTGACGTGTTCCTGTGGGAACTTGAACCCATGAGGCTTTAGACATCACCATTTCATGGGGAATGCAAGGAATAGCTAAATGACACAAGAGAGCTGCCAGACAAAACCCTAAGTCAACGCCATAGGAACAGGACATACTAAAGACACCAGGGACTCAACACCCAGAATCACTGTGTGGCCTCAGATGGGACAAACAGGAGGTCCAGGACATTCCAGGTCCACTGGGATGATCTGAACATGGTTAAGATGAAATTGCTTGAACAGGAAGGTAGAGATTGTGACTGAACAGAGAAGGCTACAGAATGCCCTGTGTCATGTGTTCACATTTTGTAAGTACACTCAGACTGTATTTGTGTGTAGACACGTACGGATACTTGTACACATTTGTATATACACAGACACACACATGATCACGTACCTATGCACCAAGGAGCAAACATTCCCAAACGTCTCTGTGTGCTGGAAATGTCAGGGTATCTATTTCTTCCCTTAAAATTACAAAGACAAAAGAAAGGAAAGTAGCTGGGGCTCTTCTCAGAGGGCTCCCTGAGCTGTGGCTGCAGGACTCGGGCCCAGTCTGCAGCTGTAGGTGCTCCAGGAGTCCCTGCTCTCCTACTGCACTGGGCTGCTCCGTCCCAGAAGGCCCCAGACCGGCCAAGCTCAGTCACTGACCTGCCAATACCTGGCAGGTGAGAAGATGTGGGGTGGACAGCACGACAGATCTCACCTTTTTTGGAAATGTCATTCCCAACCTTTCAGCCTCTGGTGATTTTTTTTCTCTTGGTGAAGAAACAAGAAAAATAAGGTCAGTCTTGTGAGTTTTTTTCGAAGAGACAAATTTATTCATTATAAAGCACTGCCTTTTAAGATTCTGGGATTCTCGGTTTTTTGGTATCAATCCTTCTTCTTCCCCTCTCACAGCTTCGTGAGTCTTGGTGATTCTATACAGTTGTGTAACCACCGCTGTGATCAAGCCACAGAACATTCCAGAACTTCCCTGGCACCCATTTCTGTCAACTGCTCCACCAACTCTCCAGTCTCAGGCTTCACAGATCTGCCTTCTGTCATTAACTTTTCATTTTCTAGAATTTTATTGTGAAATTTTAAAGCACCCCAATGTTGGAAGAATAACACAATAAACACCCACACAGTCAACACCAGAATTTGACAATGAACATTTTTCTCCAGCAGCCATCGATGTCTCTCTACTGTTTTTTCCTTTTCAAACATTTGAAAGGAAATGTAGACATCATGACACTTCACTCATAAATATTTCAGAGTGCAGCTCTGAAGCATAGGAATATAAATGCCCTTTCTTTTTATAAAATAAGAGTGCACAGTAGTTGAGAAAAAAGTTCTTACTTGGTAATTATAAAAAGTTGGTAACTTTCCCCTGCATTTCTTTTCAAAATAAACTGGCCTATGACTTGCCAAAGTCTGGGAAGCACTGAACATAGCAATACCTGTTTCTCTAGAGCCGGGCCCTGTGTTTCATCTCCAAACACTAAACACAGCTTGTAGGGTGCAGATGAGGGGACAGTAAGCTAAGAGGCTTACAGGCTTTGGGTTGGGGGTTGTTGTCTTAAGGGTTTATTAGGGCACATGCACACAGAAGGTGGACACACGCTACTGAACATAGCTACAGAACGGAAACCGTGTGTCCCCTAGCCTTAATGAAACAGAAAACACGGGAAGTTTGAGGCAACTTTGAAGAGTGCCAGGGATCAGGGCCTCTAAAAGCTACTTTAATTCTGACATGTATCTCTTAGCCAATCGATGTAAACCCCAGAGGAACTGTGCAGGGTTAGGCGTGCTAGTAATACCTGAAACCATACATGTAATCCAGTGGGCTTCTCAAGGTATTAAAAAATCACTTCATCCCCG